TTGGAGGCAAACTAGAACTGAGCGAGCTACGGTCTTGACCAGACCAGACACCTCCACTACCACAGAAATGCCTAGATATTAGAGGCAATAAAAATCAGATATGGTTTGGATCGAGAATTCCCTTCCTTGCTGCCAACTTCGGCGGTTCTACTTACCAGAGCATTGAACTCTTTGATTCATTCAATTATATGTTCAAGACAATTATGAAAACTGTTCTAAAAATGATTACCTTCAGGGAGAATAATAAAGAAAACGGCAATGTTAGTAGAAGGAACAATAAACTGAAGACGTAGATCACAATTTCGATGACGTTCATTGGGGCCACCTGAAGGAGCAAGCAGGTCTCTTCAGAACTGTCAGACAATGGAAATCATTAGGTGATTGTGACCTGCAAGATAATCACGCACCTCTTTTTCTTGATCGTCAAATATCTTGGTGTAGGTGAAGCCACTGTATCGGCTGCCGTGGGTGCTGGAGGCAGTACCGAGGCTGAAACCATTCGTATGATCTGAGGCTCATGATACTAAACATTATTACTTCAGGCCCTTTTACTTATATGGAATGGGTTTTGTTTGTGCTGCTAGATGATCCTAAGCTGCTATGGAATTCCGCTAAGTGGTTACCCAAATAGCTTGATCGAAGTGCACATCACATTCTGGAAACATTGATCCCGCTCACAGCATCATTTACCAGCTATCTAGACTTCATCTCCCTGAGATGAGTGGGGTGTGGCTGCGTAGCTCCTTCGAAAATGGCGTAGGACGCGTTGTTGCGCGGTATTTCCATTTGAGACAATTGTCATCCAGTCTTGTGCCAGCCAAAAACATGATTACGACTGCTCCAGATGGCAATATCCCACCAAAAGCGTAGATGCTGCCATGTTAGGATGCAATAAGAAGCTACGCCCCTCATACTCGAAAACACGGAGTGTGAACTGAATTCTAGGAGCACAAACGCCTTGAGGGGCCTAGTGGACGGCCACTAGCACAGGATGGTCACGTAATCTTCCAAGATCTTCCAGGGATTTTTGGTGACTGAAGGACCACTTCGTAATATGGAGTTTTAGGGTAGCAACAAAACGTAATTTGCCGCGCTGGTGGGTGTCGCAAACGACGTCGCCCCACAAATGGCGATGTTTTGGTCGCAGATGGCGACAATAGACAATGTGTAACCGAAACTAACCATAAATGTCTTAATCTCGTAGTCTTCATGGAATCTGGTGCTTTCATGACAGGCTAATTCAAGGAAACGCCGCGCGGCGGAGTTGAAGATTGGCGAATGTGCTTGACCGCCTACCGCAGAATTTCATTGTCCGATATTAGCAATGCACAGCTCACAAAACATTTACTTTCTTTTATTTCGACATTCGACTCTTTCCATCACAAGAGTCACAGTATCTCAACTACCTAACAGAGCTGGCTATAAGCCCCTTAGCGTGATGGATGTCTCCACAAATATTCCACCCTAGATTTTATGATAGCGGTCCTTCATTAAGCCTGACTTCAGTTGGCTCTATCTCTAACTATGGTAATTAATTCCATCTTTCTGTCATGCTATTAACAAAGAGGTGCAGCTAGCGCCGAGTGTCGCAAATCCACCGACAACTAACCAGCTTGTGATTCGAAAATTTTAAGGAAAAATTGAAAATGGCGAATTATTTGTGATAACCAATGCCCGACGTAATACCTACAGAGATAACAACAAAATTTCAAAGCGTACCGTGCTGGTGCTTCATAGCCCATTCGATCCAGGTCGTTGTAATTAGCATATGTGAAAACGCTGTCGAATGTGCCCTCGGGTACTCCAAACTGAAGACCACTTCCTTCCTGCTCTGTTGACTGCGACTGAGGATTGTTTTCATCCGGATCGTCCTGCAGCAGTAGGCTGCATATGCGCACTCGATGGGAAAGTCATCGGCAAACAGCGCTATTTCTGACCCCTCGGCAAGTCAATGGCAAGGCTGAAAGGAAAAGTTATCAAAGTTAACCTCACTGACAGCATGAAAGTTACTAGTGCCTGTATTACAAATCACACAAACATATAATGATACATTTAGAATCTTAGCCAGCACATAAGGAGCTGGGTTTAACTGATCGCTCATTCTAAGTGATCCCGTGCCAAATGCAGATGCTCTTGAATTCCGTGGTGCCACTGGAATTGGCAGAATCCACAGGCGAACTCATTATGGACCGTTATCCAACAACCAATCAAAATGCTAGTAAGCATTCCAGCTGTTTCGGTCAGCTTCAACATTTAAGGTCTAATATATGTTTTACAAGTAGAAGGTGCGAGGCAGTATACATTTCAAAAATCTCAACATGACTCCGTAAAAGCTTTACGAGAGACAGAATTTTGTGAAGCGATTAGTTCATCTTGGTAAGTCTCGATAAGTCAAAAATCGCCAAAAATCCTCCTTTCATATGTAGATATGCATTGATTAATTTTTAAGTGATTCACCAGCAATGGATTTGCAGGTACTTCCGACCGAAAATTTCACTTACAGGAGCTGGTTTTCTTGAGTTCGCGGCAAAAGATTGAAAAAAAAAATGGCTGTGGAACCTTGAAAATTTGATCTGTCAGGCCTGTTCGCGTATTTTTTTCGCATGTAAACTATACTCGAAGTCCCTGACAGATGAATGCAGGTAGATCGTGCCGCATGTTTCAATTAAACCTGATAGGTGTCTATGCTTCTGGTGAGAAATTTGATCGTGAAGCTTTGTTGTCGTGTGCTTTTTCTATCACAGCAACAGATACAGTTGTCCCAGAAGCTGTGAATATATATTGCAACGCAGGTTCCTGGTCCATGTTCAAAGATGCCACGCCTAACCTCGCTCAAGTGGATAGGAAGTATGAACTCCAGAGATGGTGCGCTGAAGATGGACTAATCACAGTTACGCTTACATTTTTCTGTCCACGCTCTCCTTCATCACAATTCCCTTGAAATTACGGAATAACATAGAAGACGAGGGACGCCCTGGCAGACTGGAGGGAAGGGCGGCACACGCAAGGGCTTTGGTGTCAGAACTGGAGAAACTTCAACGAAAACGAACGGGCAGACCCTTAGAAAACCCTTAGAAATGAACCAAGAAAAATCGAACGGAGTCATAGCGAAGCAAATGAACACAAATGAACACAGCCCTTATTATGAACTCGAACAGCGAGTCGAACACGGCGCATTCCAAACAAGATGAGCTGCGACAAAGATTTATATTATCGGGATTCTACGACGGGAGAGAGTTCTGCATTAGCTACCAGGAACAGTGAGGTCACAATCAGAAAAAATGGTCCCCAAGGAAATCATATGATAGGGAATGAATGAATAATAGCTGCGACAGTCGTTTGTCACTTTCTACTGCAACAGGAACCATTATCCACCGATGATATACTTTCTAATAATTCGTACCGAAAGGACACAGCTTCAGCGCGACAACAACCTTTATGGAAACATCAGCGTGGTGGAAGGGTTCAAACGAAGCTATTTCTATATAGAATGGAAATAGAGAAGGGATTACTTTGGTTTTTCAGGAATGAAAGGGCCTAGTAAAGCGATGCCATAAGAGAATAATGAAGAAAGTAGCTGAAGTTTATGCGATTCTTATGGCAGTGCAACATGCGTGAGCAGTACCAGAAAAGTTCAACCACCGTGGAGGTGATGACATGAGGCCTAGACGGCAAGTGCCTCCGCAATCATGTCTCAATAAGCCCAGCGGACTGACGCGACGACATGCTGAATGGCCCCCGTCTGCACACTCGCAGTTGATCCCGCACTCTCCTCCACATCCCTCCACACACCCGCTGCCGTCGAACGCTTCACAGCCTCATGGCATTGATCTCTTATGCAGTCCGAAATGCATTTCTGAGCCCTTAGACATGTCCCGCGGCACCATCGTTAACGGCTATTCTTCCACAGAAATGCATTTCAGAGCTTGTGATGGACTCCTGTCATGGACAAGGAAACTTAGTTTCAAGAAGTTTTCAGCGAGCGAGACAGGCACAGTAATTAAGCTCTTTTAAAAGGCACGGCGGCGATGAAGTTAACCCAACAGGACCAGCATAAGCAGAAAAAATTCTTTAGTAAGCCGGATAAGACATAATAATAAAAACAAAAAGTGTTCCGAACACCAAAGTTAATTAGCGCGCGACGAGAGTCTCATCAGGAGTTTCAGGATAACTCCCGGATGCGAAGCTTCCTTCCACTTTTTTTTCTCGTTCTCCTTTCTTCTTTTCCTTTCTTCTCCTCGTTTCCTTCATGATTATTTTTCTCCCTTCAAATGAACGGCCAGAAGATGCGCCGATAAAACGCCTCTGGGCCTTCCCAGCAAGGGAACATCCAGTTGATAGATGCCCTATGGCCCTCGCCCAGAACATTTATTGTTGGAATCGTGCACATTCCGCGCTCAACAACAGACGCGGCGATACTATAGTTGACACTCGTTAGCAGGGGTTCGGGTTCGTTAAGTAAGTCGCGCGGCATGTAGGCGATTCCTAAGAGAGCCTCCCTCGCCTCCATCATCACAAGCAGACCACTAAAATCACCCCTTCGAGAGGATTTTTATTTCTTTGGAAAATGAACTGCAATGTGTTACAAAAAGCCACAACGGAGTATGCACGAATGGGTACTAACAAGAATAGGCTTCGTTTTTTTCTTCAAGCCGAAGGTTCGAGCTAACACGGACTGAGGAAAAATGAGGGCGAACACTGGACATTTACTACTTTCAGAACTAGTTTCAAAACTTGTTTCTGAAGGACCAGTTGTACACTTTTTGAAGGTATACAATTATCTTGTTAAATTTTTCTAACTATTAGTTGCAAATGCGATTTCCTCTTGTTACTTCCCGTGGAGATAATTGATTCCAGCTATGCAACTCAAATTCACCCCTATCTACGAGAAAGACACTGCAACCTTCAGTGCAGCAAGGATCGATACATTGAAATTTTTCTTTCAGAGAGAACTCTGTCAGTTTCCGAGGAACCCTGTATAAATTATTCTGCCCTCCCTCCTCAATAAGAAGATAGCAATTTCGTGAAGTCTTGTGTAAATATAGCATAATAAGCATTCAAACCGACCAGAAAAGAGAAGTAGAAAGATCGGTGTGAA